CGCATAAAGGCAGGCCTCTAAATACATATATTTTTTTTTAAAGAATGACAAAGTCGTGAATCAACTGAAATTACCACAATTTTATTGTAGCTTGTCTAAATGCCACAACCCCCTCTAGTTTTACGGCTAGTTTAGTATTGATGTACTTTAAAAATATAAAAAAAAAATGAACTTATTATGTTGTGCTGTGAGAATAAATGATAGGAGCATATTTATGCTACTTAGTTATGTTGTTTCCTTGCATTTAGTTACTTAATTACTATCTATTTTAGTCTTTTAAGTTATTTTCGTATGTTTTTAGGTCCTAATGGCAAAAGGAGCAAGAAAGTGCATTTTGAGGCTATTTGGAGCAGTTTTGGGCATGGATTGGATAGCTTAACCATGGAGCAATGTGGATGGACGAAATTGAAGTCAAGAGATGCTAGGAAAGGCTAAAAATCTGGAGAAAGAAGTCCAAATGCAAAGAAGATAAGGAAATAGCAAGAAATAAGGAACCTTATCCAAATTTCCTTATCTTATCCAAACCTTATCCAACCTTATCTTATCTTATCCTATCCTAATCTTTTTCTACCTTAATTCCAACTTCAAAGAGGACTCCTTTTCACATTAAATCACCTAAATATCAAGTTCTAGAAGCCCTATTTTCGTGCATTATGTTTATGCCACATGTAACCCTTCTAGAAGTTTTAGAATCTGCCACAAGGACCATTCCTTGTCCTCCTTGGAATCTGATTGAAAGTATCCTTGTTCTTTGGTGATTTGGAGTCCTAATTCCTCTCCTTTTCAGCCCAAATTCGTGCCTTCCCTTCACCCTATAAATACATGATGCCACAACACTCAAAAACAACCACCCTCTACCCCAAATTCACACCACACCATCCACCACACCTCAAGAGCCTAAATTCACACAAATCCCCTTTGTTGGCAGCAAGGAAGGAAGGAGGAGCCACCTGGAGTGTTTCTAGGTGTATTCTGTCGTTGTTTTTAATGTTTAAGTTTAATTATCTTTGTTTTGTAAACATGAGGAACTAATTTTGTTTTGGCTAGAGGAGACTTTGAAACCATGATTATATTTGCAATATGAATTGATTAATTCCAGTTGTGATTTCATAAATTGTGAATGCAATTTACTTAACCGTTTGATGGATAACTTATTCTTGTTTGTTGATTAAGGGTGAACACTTAATTTGCATGCTTGAATTTGGTGCTAGAATATAAGGGAGTTTCACATAATCGTTACAAACTTATGTTCACAAGTAGTTAAGGTTGTTTTCACAATCATGTTAAGTAAATTCCTAGCATGAGTATCATGATGTCATAGTTACAAGTGCTTTGTCAATGCTTATGATTTTCATTGAACGTAATGATCTTTGATTGTATCTCTATTATGATGTCATGTAGGGAACTTTTGAAGAATGCTTTGGGTTGTCGTATGATGTCATCCAATCCAATAACTTAAGGAAAATCTGAGGGTTAATTAGTGATGTCACGGTTAATTTGGGGTGTTGAGGTTCATGGTTTATCGAAAAGCAACTGGAAATCAATTTGTATGCAAGTGTGTCATGTGTGGAGAAGGACCCTCTAGCTAGCTACTCACCCATCCATATTCCCAAATTCGTCCAAATCCTATTTAAATCTTTTAGTTACTTGTTTTTTTCTTAAATTCGTCAAAAACTCAATCCCCTTTATTTAGTTGTGTCAAATCTGTCCTAATTAGTGTTTTTGAGTGTTTTGAGTCAAAACCAATTCTATTTTCGTCGAAATTGAGTCCTAGAGTCTAGTTTGAGTCTTTTTGGTTGTTTTGTGTTGTTTTGAGTCTTTTGAGTTTGTTTAAGTGTTTTTGAGCATATTTTTGTGTCTTTGAGTCAGTTTTCATTAGATTAGCAATCCCTCCTAATCCCCGGCCTAGAACGATCCCTACTTATATCTATACTACAATTGTCAAAAAGAGGGTTTAATTTGAGTGCTATTATTTATCACGTCAATAAACATCTGTAAAATAAAGTTCTTGAGTGTTTGATACACTTTTTTTTTTTTGTATAAGTGCTTTTAACAAAAAAAAATAGTGTATGAATGTTTGGTAAACTTTATATAAATTGTTGTGAATATGTTAAATGACGAAAAATGATATGGTATTTAATGTGATATAATAATTGTCAAAGAGAATAATGTAAGGGCAATGATTGTAATTTTGTAACATACTTGGGGGTATATTTGCTATTTGAAATTTATTTAAATGAGCACTGATTACTATACTTTGAAAAAACAAAAAACAAATACAATAAAATTTAGAAGCATGGTAGATCCTGCTTTTTATAAAGTTTTTTTTTTTAATCAAACACATTTAATATTCTAAATTTTTTATTTAAAAATTGTATTTAAAAATAAAAAAAAATAAAAAAATAAAAAACACCACATGAGGCCTAGAGGTTAAGCTGACCTCGTTAGCATGTCTTAAAAGTGGTGAGAATTGCACATCATGAGACCTCAGAAAATTGCAGTTTGTTTGTGATGGGGTGCTTGAATTGATAACCCACTAAAATTTTCAAGTTGATCAATGATACAACAAGCGATGGAGAAGTTTGAAGCCAATAATGTTGACTAAGTTGTACAAGCTAAAGTAAAATATTTTCAACTTGTTTCTCATCTTCCAGTATTCGTTATCCAATTCACATTCTCCATCCGACAATGCATCAAGGATCAATCAACAAGAGCCTCTTCCTCTTTGGACCACTTTTTTCACATAAAAACTTCTGTTAGTTTTTATCACAAATTTTAAAAAGAATTTTTGAAAATTTGATATTTTGATAGAACGGAGTTCTTTCGTCTCGAAATCCGACTGCTATTAATTTGAAGAGTGCTCTTTCTTATTATATATTATGTATTCTTTCTAAATTTAAGGACTAACTGTTGTATTGAATCACAAAATAATCTGGAAAATGTTCCACACTAATGGATACGGGATAAACTTGTTACACACTAATGGAAAATGTTCCACATTAATGTTACAAAATAATCTTGTAGCACTTACCAATGAGGCTTTACCAATTAATATAATTAGATTTGCGCTTCATAGACAAACTTGGATTTGCAATCCCAAGTAAGATCGGTTCAGGATCATGGGATCCTTTTCTATCAGATAGGAAAGGCTATTGCACAAAATGTACTTCTAAGTAATTCAAACAACAATAAAAAATAAAAAGTAAATAAATAAAATAAAAGCCGATGTCTGTGGATTCAATTCAAACAACAATCATGGAAAAGGAAAAACGAAAAGAACACATGCAAGTGACCCACAAAGAGAAAAGATCCAACCACATTTCCACATTGTTCACAGAACAATCTCAAGGTCTCTCAGGAAAAAAAAGCCCTTGATTTCAAAGATTAATATCAAATGATAGGACACCCCCCATCATGTGGTGCCCTAAATGAGTTCAATCAAGTAAGCATTTAGGACACGGGGCCCTCGGACTGTAAGGAGGGACGTAAAACAAAAAGATAGGACAATCATCGATTGAATTCCACAAATTAAATATCCTCAACAGGCACCTGCATATGCATATCTTTTACAACACTTAGGAAAGAGACCGACAAAAAAAGGTTTTGTACCCCCTTCTACAAATATGACATCCTTTCAAGTCAACAAAAAATATTGGAGTACTCAAACGCTTCTTATATGAAGATTCTTTCCACCATTTCCATGTTAATACTTACAGTTGCAATGATGCATCACCAAAGCATGACAATAATAATCGACAAAAAAAATACTTTGGCGCCTTACATGTAAGGAGTCATTTCTTCTCATAAACAAACCACTGCTTAACATGTGTGTGGAAAATTTTCCTTTTGTACTTATAATGAGTTGTAGCTTACATATGAAATTATGATTTGCAAGTAAGCATGGGCTACAATTATAGTGGGCAAGTAACTGCCGTTATTTACCCATCATTTAAGCCCTTACCCGTATAACCGTTTACCGATTGGATAATTGCAAAAACAGCTATACTCATACTCATAACCTCATACTCGTTTACCAATTTACCTTTTTTTAATCCATTTACCGTTTTTACCCATTCACTGTTTTTTAACCCATTTACCCGTTTACCCATTTTTTAACCCGTTAACTTTTTTTTAACCTGTTTACCGAGATGTAGAGGTGATAATTCGTAAGCTTGTAGCATATTTTGTATTGGCACTCTCTAAAAAAATGTTCCTGCCAACACGTAGGAGAAGAAAAGGGTATGTAATTATATGTATCATTAATCAAGGGGTTAAAATTCAATTATATAGACGGTCAACAATCAAATTTATTATTCGTTAGACAACAATTTTAGTTCTGTTTTAAGTTGTTATAGACTCATAACAAACACAGAATGAGCAATCTTGGGTTCAACTCAAAATGTATCACCTAAAAAGTTCAAATGCACTTGGATTGACCCCACCATTCTGAAATCATTTATATCTTTGGTTTCAACGAGCAACTAGAGCTAAATTGGTTGTATGCAAGCATTTAAAGAGAGCAATAGAAATGATCAAATGAAAACCAACCAATATTTGGTAATTCTGGGTGTAAACATGAATACATATACATTCGCTCGAAGGTAGGAAATAATCCAGCACTTTGCAGTGAAACATCATTACGCCCATTAACAAGCAATGCAAAATGTAGCGGAGATGAGTGGGAGTGGGCCACGAGGAGAGATATGAACGGCGGGAGTCTAAAGGGGTCAAACAATTTTACGGTTTTTAATTTTTTTTTTTTTTTTCCTTTTTAATTTTCATATATTAATATAAACGGTTAAACGAGTCCCCATTTATAACCGCAGTAATACCCATAACCACTCATTTAAATTTCACGGATAAACAATTATACCCAAAACCATTTATTTTTTTAAACGGTTACTCATAACTGTAACCGTGAGTTTTACATAAGCAGGTAACCGCAGTTTACCCATACCCCTGGGTATTTTGCCCCATCCCTATTTTACAAATGATGAGGATTGAGGAATGAGTTTTCACATGTAAGAACCCAGGCAATGTTCATAGTATTCAACACTTATCTCTCGAGTTTCTAAGCAGTGAATCAAACAATCCGTCCATGGAATAAAGCTTATCAAAAAATGTCTTGTCAATGATTGAGCTTACTATCATTTTTCCTTTCAATAAATCCAGTGAAACAGTAATGGGAGCCAGTGAAAGCATGGAAGGTACCACTGAAGAAGCACACAATTTGCCAGCATCTCTTTCACCAGCCGAACTCAATATAATTCTCATTACATCTGGATGCTACTGCCCCCTTAAGAGAGTATTTTCACCACATTGCCTTCGAGCCAGAACCACCATAAAACAGAATATCTGACAGCAGCAGATTTGCACATGGAATCAATGATATCCAGGTTGCTCCAGTCTGGAACCGTCCTGCAATTTAAAGTCGGAAGCTATCCTCCAGTCAGAAGTCATCTCCATCAGACATTGAATTGTAAAGACTAACTTTAGGTGCAACATGTAAGTCCTAACGACCTGGGAACAACATACTCATATTCAGCCGGAGAAAGATAACTAAATGATACCTGGTACAAGTCAGTATAAAGCGTGCCCACTACCACAACACTTGGCAAGACTGACATAGTTAAAAGAAGATATACCAGCTGGTAGCATCGGCAATCCAGGATTTGTAATTTCCTTTTGCAAGTTTTGTAGTCCAATCACTATGAACTGAACAGAAAACTACCTCACCCCGTCCCTAATCTACATTCCTACATACTTTATTCCACCTTTTAATGCTTATTCTTCACATCCTATAGTGCAACTGCTGTCGAGAATTTCTGAATTCACTTTTTCCACTACACATTAGTATCGGCTACAGAACTCCGCTAATTTTCCCCTCATTCCACCCATATAAATTTAATATGTCCATCATAAGCATTAAGGATTAACTCTCAACCCCCTAATTATATTCATCAGAGTCTGCTTTTCGCCCTTCAGGTTAATCTTTGTCTACATCAAAGGCAGAACTTCCAAATCCACCAACATCTTCTCGTTCTAGTGGTACATCTCTTCCCAATGTTGGAAGAAAACATCTAAATCTTAAAAGTACTAAACCGACAGTGAATGTATTTCAATAGACAGAGAAAAAATGAACAGGATATTATTTTTTTTCCTTTGGGGGGAGAAAGAAAATATGGCAATTTTGAAAATGGGTACTACAAATAAATAAGGCATAGTGTTCTACCCATCATAAGATTGTAAATTACATTTTCCTTCAAGATAGTAGCACCTTCTGGCCTGTTTGATAACAATTTTTCTTTAGTTTCAAGTTTTCATTTAGTTTTTTATTTCATTTTTTTTTGTTTTTAGTTTTCATTTGTGTGTCCTTATATCCATTCACATTCCACCATCCTTCCTTCACCCTTCTTTCATTCCCCCTTTCTCTAACATACTTTCCTCTATCTATAGCAAATCAATTGAAAAATAAAAACTAATAAATACAATTATTCCTCTTTTTGCATTTTGGTTACATTGTAGGGTTACATGAAGACTCATCTTTAAGTTCTTACCTTTTTACATTGGTAATGGATGAGTTAACGGACATATCCAAGATGATATTCCTTGGTGTATGCTATTCGCAGATGTTAGTGTGCCTTTAAGTCCTTACCTTTTTGCAATGGTAATGGATGAGTTAACGGACATCTCCAAGATGATATTCCTTAGTGTATGCTTTTTGCAAACAATAGTGTTGATAGATGAAACTCATGAGGGAATAAATGCGAAGCTTAACCTTCGAGAGGAAGTGTTGGAATCTAAAGGTCTTCGCCTAAGTAGGCAGACAGAGTATATGGAGTGCTAGTTCAGTGGGAACGAAGGTTAAAATGAGTTGAGGGTGAGGATTGGAGATCAAGAAGTACCAAAGTGCAAACACTTTCGCTATCTTGGATCTATCTTGCAAACGAAGAGTTGGATGGAGACCTCAATCGTGGAATACAAGTTAGATGGATGAAGTGGAAGAGTGCATCAAGTGTCTTGTGCGACTATCGTATGCCACTAATGCTCAAGGGAAAATTTTATAGGATGGCAATAAGGTCAACAATACTTTATGACACGGAATGTTGGGCGGTGAAGTATCAACAAGTACACAAAATGAGTGTAGCGGATATGAGAATGCTTCGTTAGATGTGTGGGCACACGAGAAAGGACAAGATTAGGAACGAGGATATCCGAGGTAAATTAGGAGTAGCCAAAATTGAAGATAAGATGAGACAAAATCGGTTAAGGTGGTTTTGGACATGTGAAACGAAGACCTACAGACGCCCCAGTTAGAAGATGCGATTACGAGACAGAGACTCAGGCCAGAAGGGTAGAGGAAGACCTAGGAAGACTTGGAAAGAGACATTAAGAAAAGACTTGGACTACTTGGATCTAACGGAAAACGTGGCATAAAACCAAGTGCAGTGGCGTTCTAGGATTCATTTAGTCAACCCCACTTAGTGGGATAAGGCTTTGTTGTTGTTGTTGTTGTTTGCATTCAGGTTATAAAGCTAGGAATCCGATATGCTCTATTATCTTCTTTTCAAGCAGATGACAAGTATTCCAGATTCGAGAATTGAATAAGGCGGTATACTATGAGGTAGAATGATACATGCTTGATAAATTTCCAAACAATGATATGATCTTGTTTCATTGCTGCATAACCAAGTGCCCCCTACGATATAGAACTAGGACTGTACATGATTTTGTAGGTGAAGAGAGACTGAAATTCAATCTATTTAAGTTTTTTCTTTACCATTTCAATACAGGTCTATTATAGATAACCATGGTACCGTGTGCAGTCCAATTAGTGATCATATACGTGAAATTAAAGGATTAAGCACTCCTCCATCCCTCCCTACCTCCCTCCCTATACTCATTCGGAAGCTTGGATACAAAACTGGGCATCTCAATACAAGGTTTCTACAGAAAAACCACCACTGCCATTCGAACCTTCATCAATACCACCACACTGCCATCAACTCCAATGTCGATACCAACATCTCCAACAAAACTATGTCATTATCAGCATTGACAACAGAAACACTGCCCCCACCCTCATACCACCATACTTGCAACTGTCACCATTGTCAAGCACCATAATTCTGCCCTGTCTACTAGTGTTACCATGACAAAAACCATTGAAACTAGCATTACCCTCAAAACCACGCTGGAAGTCAACAAGCGAACACCGATCATCATTACCAACACAACCACCACCACACAACTTGCATCACTAATATCTAGCAACCTGGACTTTTGACGAGAATACCTCACTATAGCTATTAATGAAAATTTTCGCTTAATTTCTAGTCTTCTAGTTATAAGTGTCTACATACGTAATGTTAGTGGTAATACATCAACATTTGATTCCACAATCATCGAAACTGCCACAATTGTTGTCACTCCTAATAACACGTCACTAAAAAACTCTCTGTGATTATACCCAACATTGTTAACAGGATTAACTCAGAAATCAATGCATAAACGATAATTAGCAGTTCAATTGTCAGTGCTAAACAATTCATACCTTAGAACCTCAGGAAGTGAAACGAAACGAGAGCCTCAAGCACTCCCAAACACGCCCCGGCGAAAACGTCGGTGACGAAATGCCTGCCCAGCAAAACCCTAGAGACGGAGGTGCCGGCGGCCCAGGCCCAAGCGACCGAGACCAAAATACTCACGGCATTGACCTGGTCCGTGCCGATCCAACGATCAACGAAGGGAGACGATGACCGTAGGTTGGCGAGGGCATCGGCGAGGGCGACGGCGGAGACGTGTAAGAGGGAAGCAACGAAGCAAACCCGAGATGCGTGCCCACTGGGGAAGGAGAAATGGTCCGCCGAAACGGCGACGCTCATGTTCTTGTTGTAGAGAGGGCGGGAGCGGCGGAAGAGGAGTTTGATTAGGCCGACGACGGCGAGGTCGAGGAGGAGGCCGAGGATGAGTGGGAAGAGGAGTGGACGGAGGATTTGGGTTGGGCTTGGGGATGGGATCGGGATAGGGGTTGGGGTTAGGGTTGGGGCAAGAAGGAGGGAGAGGGAGAGAGGGAAGAAGAAGCGGAAGTCGGCGGAGAGTTCGAGGAGGAGGAAGAGGGAATGGGGGAGGAAGGGTTTGGCGAGGATGTGGAGATGTCGGGAGACGGTCGTATCTAGAGCTACTAAGCTGCCGAGGATTGGTGGCGGTGGCGCTGTGGTGGTGGTGTGTTTCGCTGGTGGTGCTGGTGCTGGTGCTGGTGCTGCATCCATGGTTGAATGTCAGTCTGAGTGTGAGATGGTTAGCCGTTGGGTTAGACAGTTGATAACCAATCAAGGAGTTAGTTTGTACTGGACTAGAATGTAGTGAATTTTAGTTTGGAGGCCCAAATACAGATTGAAAGAAGGCTCTTTTCTCAATTCATGGCCCAAAAATAGAATTCAAATTACTTTTTTATTTTCTACATAAAGGAAATTCGAACACGGAATCTCAGGTGTAGAATCAAATGATCTTAACCAACTAAGCTAAAAGGAGAATTACTTGGTATTGTTGTGCTTTTAAAAAATGTTTTTCCAGTATTGTAAGGAATAATTAGTTGAAAGAAGAAAATGTTATGTTTCATGAATTATATTTGTAATAGTGTTGTGAATATAAAACACATTGTCAAGTTTGGTACTTTTTATGTTGTGGTCTATTAGTTGTTATTATTGTTATTATTTTGATAAAGAGGAAAATCTTGCACCGCTCCATCATGTATTGTAGCACAAAATGGAACACCAAATATCGGATGAGGATCTTCGCCAGATTCTCTTTGTGAGGATCTCTAGGATTCTCACATCTTATTCGTTCATTGTACATTGTGCAGCCAGCTTTTATTAGGTACCAATTGTAAAAAAATTCAAAATGATTTCTGATCGCACGATATAAGGTGCACGGATTTTGATGAACAGATAGAATGTAAGGATCCCTAAAATCCTCACAAAGAGAATCTGGATGGGATCCAAATTCCTAGATATAGAAATCCCTTGGTAGTGTTATCTTGATTAGTAACGACTTGACAAACTTGACCGGAAAAATGTTTCCACATAGATGCTCTCTTGGAATCATTCTAGCAAGGTTGAATCTTTTTCTTATTGTGAGGCTAAACCTACCCCCTCCTCTTTAGCAAAGTTGAATCTTGTATACATGTTTAATCCAATAAAAAAATCCAGCATAGGTTTTGCCAAGGTTAAATTCATCCAAAAGTTACAAATAAAGGTGGACAACAAGGTCACAGAATACCTTCCAAGTCTCATCTTGTCACATGTATCTTTAACAACCAAAAAATAGGATCATTAATAGGTTTATTGATAACTAGTAGGTTTATCAGTAGGGTTTACTATAAAGATAACTTTATATGTGTCCTCCAATGTAACAATCTTCCAAAGTTGCATGTAATTCAAATTGAGATTGCATTGGCTTTTTATATTAGGGGTTTGATATGAAATAAATATATGTAATGACCTGATTAATTAGAGAAAGATCATTTCGTTGTAATTCTAACTAAATCAAGATTCTAAAATATGCTACGCATTAGTCGGGTGGCAGGTTGGGGCTTAGCGGCTAAGCAAAGGTCTAGGCGGACTAAGCGGATTTAAGTAAATTTATTATATTTTGTATAAATAAGTGCCTAGTTATACGTAAAAAACACACATAATTGTTTCACGATAGATAAGTTGCAAAATAAAATGACATATAAATTATAAAGTATTAGAACATATTGAAGGGGGAACAAGTACATCATGAGTGTTCATCCAAGTATTTAACAAATTTCTTACATTTTATTGAAAAAAGTAAAATACAAATTGAAAGTTATAGATTTTTTGTCACAATGAGAGTCATGAGCTAGGTGGGTGCCTAGGCAGGTTAAGTGGGTGCCTAAGCAGGCTAGGTAGACGCCTAAGTGGGTCTAGACAAACTTTCTTAATTTTCAAACACCTAAGGACTAATCGGGGTGTTGGCCAGCCACCTAGTGCCTAGGCGGTGCTAGGTGGGGATTTTTAGAACAATGAACTAAATAGGTTCTCTTCTATATTCTATATTGGCTTGAATAACCATGACATAAACTAGGCATCACTCATGGCTTGTGGGCCCCTTCAATGACTAACCTTACTATCATCAATGAATGGATAAATTAAAAGATGAATTTAATTCACTAAATGATTGAAGTGGCATTAATCACAACATTGTTTTGCAATGAACCTAATTAATGGATCGCACAGGTAATGCAATAATGACTGCTTATCTCCCTCATGAGAGACTTTCTCTCTATTTAAGAGTCCCTTCTCATCGATTGTGTGAGTGTACCTAATCTCGACAAATTCCAGAGCCGCCGTCCCTAGCTATGGTTGGGAGGACAGTTTAAATTCCATAAAAATTAGATTGATGTCGGGTACTATTTTTTAACCATTTAGATTTCATTCAACAGCCTACGTTCGGTCCGCATGCAACTGGGAAAGCTCGATGCGCACCTTAGAAAACACTTCCTTTGCATGAGAATTTGACCCTAGGCCCAATCAAGTGTCAAACAGTCAGGACCTTCAAATATGGAGAAAGTGCGGCATATGGAATTCAAAAGAAAAAAAAATAAAAAAATAAAAAATAAAAAATAAAAAACCTTAATTATTGAGCTTTAACCATGTGCAATGCATAATGCATTGCCTCCGAATTCTTAATTTAAATGTTTAAACCCATGCTGTGCTATGCTAATGCTATGTGCTATGCTATGGCCAATAAATTTGGCTGTCTTTGACTTTATTCTTAAAAACAATAATGTTATAGCTGAATGGCATAGCGTCTCATTCGAGTTTTGATTTTACTAGTATTTATATCACCAATGTTTTAAAGAGCGGAGACGTGAGCGAGACGTCTCATGTATAGCCCCGCCTAGACGAAAGTCTTGAGGCGTGAGGTTATATAGTATACGTAATTATATATAATATATAAAACTATATTACTTTGTAAAATAAATATTCATTGTTATTCAAAAGTGTACATCTCACAAACAAATTAAACCTACATCACAAACAAGTTTAACCAAGCAATCAAATTAACCAACAATCAAACAAATAGAATGAAATCATACATTTAGTCTTAAGTAAGTGCATATTTATATGAATTATGAGAGTTTGGAGTAATATTTGAGTAAGATATGTAGTCTTAAAAAAAAAGAAATAAGGATATGATAATGTAACTTTTAAATAATATAACGTTAATAAAATAAAAAACAAACAGATGTTTATCTTTTTTCCTGCAAGTAGAATATCTAGAAAAATATGCTTCTTTATTTAAAAAAAATAATAAAAACTAAAACTAAAAGATGCTTTTTCTATTTTGATTATGAGAAAAAAAAATAATATAAAAAACAAAAAGTGAACATAAGGGAAGATAATGGGATAATAAATGTCAGCAAAGTAGAGTCATTTTAAACTTAAAAAGAAAAAAATATTAAAAAAAGGAAAAGGAAAGGCGTTGGCAACTTCATCTTCTTCGCTGGAAGACTGCAACTTCTTCATCTTCTTCAGACAGACGGCCCCCTGATCAGAAAATTTCAGGTCTGGGCAACTCACAAAAAAGAAAAAACAAAAGCCCATTGAACTCCTCAAGCGCGCTTCAGCCGCCCAAGCGCCCCCGATGAAGCCTAGGCAAGTTTTCGCCCACTCCCACAAAACAGAGGCGATTTTCCTCACGCCCCTTGGGGCAATTGTTTTAAAACACTGTATATCACTAAAGTTTGTGTACAAAAATCGTGCATTGTTATACAAATTACATTGAGTTAGTGATACTTCTCTTCGTAATGTCGGAAGAGATCTCAAGTTCGGATACTTCCTCCCTCAACAAATATAAGAAAAACATTATTCATAGGTAATAATCGCCTTCGAAGTGTATGATTGTCAATGAACTCTGTATAACTAACCTAAACTTAAGGTTGTATTTTATCTGTCTTCTGTTTTCACTTTGTTGAAATGTGTTATAAAGTCAAATATCACCTCTTATAAACAAGAAAGAAACTAACCCCTAACGAGTCCTTTTGATCAAAGGAAAAACCCTAAATTTCTGGGTGCAAAACCTCAACTGAGAAAAACGAGCACTAATCCGTCTGCAATCTGCACTCGTGCACTCCAACATATGAGTGCAAATGGCACTGTCATATATAAATCATTATGTTACACAAATTCGTTTGCAATTTCGGAATAAGAGTGTATGATCACATGCGTCTTCATGGATATGCAACATTTCAAACATACCCACACAAAAATAGCGAGAACCATGAATGTACGGAAGTCGTTAGGAATTTGAAGATGTCCTTCTTTGCCGCAAGAGGTTGCGCACGAAAGTTCCAAGTTCAAATCTTCTTTCCCAGACATAAAGCAGAAAAAAAACCCTAAAGTTAGAAAGAGTGTAAGAGGTTATTGGGGAGTGACAACACTCCAGAGAGCTACATGGAAATTAAAATTTCAAAACTAATGAAGAAATACTACTTCTAAACGAGCACCCAATAGCAGAATCACAAGTCAAACTCAACAAACTGAGTCTGTACAACTAAAAGGCCAAGTCCTGGTCCTATTCTGCAGATTACAAAATTGGTATCTGAGGCCGTTTTCAAGGCTCACGGGCTGATAAGTTTTTGTCAAGATTTTTTTGTTTTTCTCATCTGGAAAATCGAACACATTGACGGTAAACTTTTTACACTTAGTGTAGTTCACAACCAACATCACCGATATTGTTCCTACATTAATCACTTAGAACTAAGTGTAAGGTTTCACAAAAAATCTCGGTGATATTAAAAGCAAATCTCCCACATATGAACTGTATTTTATCTTATTATCTCTCCGACGTAAGACTCTCGAGTCTTTGACATTGGAGGTAGATCAAAGGTGAATATTAAGGAAGTTACTCGAAACAGCAGAACTGGACCGGCCGGGAGAGGACCACCAAATCCGGATCCAAGTTCTGCCGTCCATAATTATATACCAACAAGCAACAATACAATTCATAATTAGCTCTTTCGGCATTGGGGCAGTCCAAGCCAAATGTTAGATTTGTTTGGATTGAATAATGATCCGAGAATCACTCTCCACCTGATTGAGGACTTGTGATCCTGAATCATCATGTTCTTTCCCCCACCCACTCTACATGTCCTAACTTTTCTCATTTTTTGTATTCTATGTTAGTTTTTTTTAATGTTTTTTTTAAGGCTAAGTAATTATAACTTGCATTATGATGAAATATATAACCTAATATGTAATGATTTAAAGAGATCAAT